GGGCTTGGGGGCTCTCGGTTCAGCCCCCTCCCTTTACCAGGGATGGCCTCTGTTCCCGGGGACAGCTGGGTGTCCTCCTGCTCGTCCATGCCCAGGTCACCTCACCTCCTCCTCCTGGGCGAGCAGCATCTGGATGGAGAGGAGCTGCAGGCGCTCGCTGGCAAGGTTGTTGCACAGTTGCTCCAGGCCATTCACCCTCAGTGCCTGGGGGCATGTGGGCAGTGAGGTGGGCACCCACGTAAGGCTGGGGCACAGGGCAGGTCAGCTGGGTGTCCTCCTGCTCGTCCATGCCCAGGTCACCTCACCTCCTCCTCCTGGGCGAGCAGCATCTGGATGGAGAGGAGCTGCAGGCGCTCGCTGGCAAGGTTGTTGCACAGTTGCTCCAGGCCATTCACCCTCAGTGCCTGGGGGCATGTGGGCAGTGAGGTGGGCACCCACGTAAGGCTGGGGCACAGGGCAGGTGTGGGGGGCCGGCACATAGGCACAGTGCCCTTCATCTGCCTCCCACAGGGGCTGCCTGAATTCTCTCCAGCACTCGGGAGGGGCGATGCTCCAGGGCTGATGCTGCAGCCTACGGGGTCAAGTGCAAAGGGCCTGGCACAGCATGCAGGCTGCCTCAGCCCTGCCCAGCCCAATTAGGCCTCCCTCTAGGATCTCCGCCCTCTGCTCTCAGCATGACTGTGAGCATTCAGGCTTCCAGTCACAACCATCCTGTGGTCTGGAAGCCTCCTTCTCCTGCAACCTAGCTTTCTGACTATTGAAATCCCACGTCCTCATAAGCAGGGCTCCAGGCTGCCACCTCCAAGAAGCCTTCTGGCATTCCTCCTGCAGGGATTACAGGCTCCTTCCTCTGACCCCCCTGCATAGTAAGCCCAGCAGAGTCCCCACTTTCTGTAGCTTACACGGAGTTCCGAGTCACTCTAAAGCACACCTGAGGACACACATTTGCCATTTCATCCCCCTCGTTAGAGAGGAGGTGGTCACTAAGGACACACTGGAGCGCAGGAGAGATCGGGGGCAGTGAGCTGTGCCCTCCAGCCCCCTCCTTCCTGCCCTGAGGAGGCAGGGTCCTCCGGAAAGAGACAAAGAGCTTATGAAAAGTTAGGGCAACATGGGGGACTCTCCCTCTTCTTGGTGTATGGCAGGGGAGGCTGCGGGCCGACCCATCCTAGGGCCTGTCTTCCACTGACTTAGAGGCTCCTGGGAGGCTCTGCAAGGCCAAGCGGGACAGAACTCTCCAGAGGTGAGGTCAGGAGGGGACAGAGTTCGCAGCTGTGTGATGGACCATCTCAGAGCCAGGTGGGCAAATAGTTCACGAGTGCCCCCTACTGGACAGCTGGAGCTGCTGGGGTCCCCAGACATAATCAGGATGAGGTGGCCACCCTGTCCTGGGCCCCACCCCAAGAGGTGACCTCAAAGCCGTAGACATCCACAAAAGTGACGGTGTCCATGCTGCCTCCCTCCCCAGGTGGTGCCAGCCGAGTGTTGGTTCTCATCAGCAGCCAGGTGAAGAGCCGGGAGTACAGGGCCTTGGCCAGGGCGTCCCTGTGGACATGGTGAGTGAGCCGTGTGCAGCAGAGTGCCAGGTGGGGCTACACTCCCTCCTGCCCCCAGGACCACCTGGCATCAATGGCGCCTTCCACAGGGAGGGATCTCGAGGCCCGGCCATAGGGCGTCTCCTGGAAGGCAGAAGATGTGCACGTGGTGCGTCACACCCAAGGCTCACAGGGCACCCAGCAAGCCTTCGGGTGGCCAGCTTGGTCCTGTGCCTCCCCGGGACCCTCGAGCTCACCATGACCCTTCTGGTGACAGCCCCCTCCAGGCGCTCAGGTGGCACCCGCAGCAGCCATGCCGCCTTGTGGATCTCGGCCCAGCCGGACACGGCAGCCACCTCCTGGGACTCCCTCTGGACAGAGGAGGGAGGGGCAGGGAGAGCTCTGCCTGTGGAATGGCCACAGCGCACAGGGCAGGGGCCAGGCCTCGCTTTGCCCGACGAGCTGCTCTGATACCAAAGGCACATAGATCCGGACAGGTAGGAGCCGGCTCCGGAGTCCGAAGGCCCTGAATTGGGTCCTGATCTACTTCTTTACTAGTTGGCCGGTGTCTTTCCTCTCTGAGCCTCCACAGTCTTACTATTAAAAGGGAAGCAACACCCCTTAGGTCTCGGTGCTGTCACGAGAACCAAATTAGTGATTTACACAGTGCCAAGTATGTAACAGCTGCCCAGTTCATGCCACATATGCTTTCTAAGGGTGGCAGTTTTGTGAAACAGGCATTGACATGGGTGCAGAACACCTGGGTCTCAGTTTTCTCGCCTATACGATGGGGGTCTGCCTGCTTTCCAGGGCAGCTGTGAGGCTCTGAGGGTGGCCCAGGGCTTTGTAGTCAGCCACATGCAGGTGTTTGGCATTACTACTGCTGCCCTGATCATGCAAACAAGCCATGCACTCAGGGAAGATCACCTCCGATGAGGAGAAGCAGATGTTGCCCAGGTGCAGGGTGGTGGCTAGCAAGGCCCAGACTGCGGTCAACTCCTCGGGGCACAAGCCCAGTGCCTGTAGGGCCTTCACCAGTCTCGCAAAGTCCTGGGCATCCTCCTTGCCTGGGAGCCTGCAGGCCCGGCCCTGCAGAACAGAGCAGGGCTAAGGAGCAGGGCCTGGCCACCCACAGCTTCTCTCTATTCTGGCTCCTCCACAGACACCTGAGCCAAGACCCGTTCCCTGCGCAGACCCCATCACCCATGCCCAGCGGGCCTTGCACCCACCTGGTTGAGATAATAGTAGGTCTCAGGTTCCTGCAGGGAGAGCTGCTCCCGTTCCACAGGGTCCAGCCCTGCCAGCAGCTCGTAAAAAATGTGGAAGCTCCGCTCAGCCTGGGCCTTGGGGGAGAAGGACTGGCTTAGGAGGGGGCAGGGGCCTGGTCCTCTGTCCCAGGGCAGCGAGGACAAATCCTAGGGAAGGCAAGCCTGGTGGCTTAAAGACCACGGTGCATCCCCACCCCCCTGATAGTGGCCCCTCCTACCTTCCCACTCGGGGAGCTGGCAAGGGGTGAGCAGCGGGGTGGGTCTTACCTGAAATACCACCCTCGAGGTCTCAAGGAGATAATGTGACACAGAAGCTCCCACGATGACCCCGCTGTGGGCACAGGACACTGGGTAGGGGTGCCCAGGGTGCATGCAATACAGGGACCCCATTCCGAATTGGACCCACCATGGGCTGGATCCAGGGGCAGCAGCCTCGGGTTCCCAGTAAGGGGAGCTGATCATGGGTGCCCCTGAGCCCACCTGGACCCCCATCACTCACTGCTGCAGGTAGAGGCATGAGACCTGGCCGAAGCGGCTGGCGTTGGCATTGAGGATTGTCTTGGCGTGGCCGAAGCTGCCGAGCAGGGGCAGGACATCATCCAGCTGGATGGGGGAAGGGCATTCAAGTATACCCAGGAGCAGCAGCAGTGCCCACTGATCAGCAGCCCGGCTGAAGACACTCTGTGCCTGGGGACTAGGCGGGTCCATGGAAGGCCAGTCCACCCCACTCCGCTCTCCTCTGACCACAGCAGGCAATGCCTGGGGTAAGCCCAAGGAGAAACCAGAGGTCTGAGACCACACTCCTGGCCCAAAGGAGATCCCTGGAAAATGGCCAGCTAGCCCTCACCTGACATCCTCTGTCCCTGGTCTGCTCCTGTGCCAGGCTGTGTAAGAACGGCACCATCTTTTTGGCAGCTTCTGTCTTCCCTGAGCCACTGTGCCCACTGCAGGAGGGAGGGGCTGGTAGGGTCTCCAGGAAGGGGCACATAGGATGACGCCATGGAGCCCACAACCGAGAAATGATACTCCCCCTAGAGGAGACCCTCAGAAATGCGGAAAGATAGACTCTGGGCATAGAGACCAAACAGAAAAAGTGCCTCCTTCGAGGGCCCATGTGGTGACTTCAGCCAGGAACACAACCCTTAGGAAGTCCAGAGCCGCCACCCAGCTGTGGAGCAGACCAGCAGTTTCAAATGCAGACCTTGTGTTCCCCCTCCACCTACCCACCCCTTCCCAGCCTGCAGTGTGGCCTCTGGGTTTAGTCAAACAGGGCAGCCACCGCTCACCTGAGGAGAATGCATATGCCCTGGCCAGTGCTCTGAGACAGGCTATAGGCTGATGCCACGATGGCAAAGATGTGTCTGGGGAAAGAGGGTGGGGGCAGATGAGAAGGCTGCCAGGGGCATCTGGGCCCTCCTAAGTGGAGGCAGGACGTGCCAGAGTCCCTAAGACCTCAGACAATGGGACATGCGAGGGCTTAGCTGCCCGGGGTGGGGGTCGGGGGGTGAGCAAAGGGTTGGGGAGGTAAAGTCACTTACGGGGTCGTGTTGGGGGCCTTCCTAGGGTAGTAGCTGGCCATGACCTCAGGTGAGAAGAGAGGCAGGTCCTGGTAGGGGTTTAGAGCGAGCAGGAGGGGCCCCCCAAAGGTCTGGGGAAGAAAGCCGAAGCTCTCACCAGAACATGGATGGGCCAGGAGATGCAAGTGGAATGGGGCTCTGACGGTCCCTGGCCCAACCCCAGCCCCGCCTCTGCTGGTCCCCAGAGAGGCCTCAGCACCCAGCCCAGGAAGGAGAAGAAAGGAGAAGCTCCAGGGGTGCCGGATGACCCTCTGATCCCAGGGGAAAGGGAGTCCCAGTCCACTCTCCCCCCTGGGTCCCCCCGTACGTAGATTCGGCCCAGGTGAAACCTCTTCTTGAGGCACAGCAGCATGGAGCTGTCACACACCAGTCTGTGGGGACAGCAGGGTGGAGGAGCAGAAAGTTAGGTTAGGGGAGGTCCTAGGTTAGTGCCGCCACTGGCTGCAGAGACACTTGGGGCAAGTCATGTGCCCTCTCTGAGCCCCCACCATAACACAGAAGCTGGCTGCTAAGTAAGTTACCTTCCCGGAAGGAGCTACAAGCAGGACCTGGCCACTGACCCAGAGCGAAGCTTTGTGCCAATTAGAGAAGGAAGCCCCAGGCAGGGGCACCTGATTTTCACCCCTCACCTGTCTGCCCCTTCCGGCCAGGCAACATTTACGGAGGCAAAATGCCCTCTACGATTTATAAGAACGGGAATAGGGTACGATATGAGGAACCATGTGACTCAGGCGTGGCAGATTTGGAACCGTGCCCACTGACCGCAGCCTGGCCAGGTCCTCGGTGTCTTCCAGGACGTCCCCGAGGCTCCTGCCCGCGGCACCGGGGAAGGACGGCACCTCCAGGCCTGGCCCAAGGCTCAGCTCCAGGTCCCTCTCCAGCGCCGCCTCGGCCTCATCCTCTGGCTCCCACCGCTCCCTCTGGGACCCGCAGGGGCTCTGGCTCCTCTCCAAGGCGAGTTGGGGCAGCAGTATGTGGGTGCCAAGCTCAGGGTCCTCACGGGTGTCCGAGCCCTGCGCCCAGTGAACTGGAGCCTCGGCTTCCAATGTCTCCGGCTCCGCTTCGCTGCTACATCTGCTCTCGTCGAGTGGGGGCCCGTCAGGGGGATTCGGGGTCAGGAGAGAGCTGCGGCGAGGCTGGGCCCCCCCTTCTCCACTTGCCCCAAGACCTTCACTGTCCCTTGAGGCCCCTGCATAAGGCCAAACGCAGTTCTCCCCGGCGGGGGCATCAGCAGACGCCTCCTCTGAGCTCCGGCTGCTCGCCACCCTCCCCACCCTGTGGATCCTGGGGAACACGACCGCGAACTTGGGATCCGGAGTGGGGTCCTCGTCCTCAGAAGGGTCGTTGCGGGCTGGGATCTTCGCAGCCTGCGAGGAGCTCGAGCTGCAGCCAGGGGGAGCCCTCGGCCGCCCTCCCAGCCCTGCAGC